GCGGCCCGAGAAGCTGGAGGAAGGCCGGAGCAGACTTCTGCCCCAGAGCCATGACGGGCCGGGGGCACGGTTCACACTGACTGTGTTGGAGGCTTTTGACACAGGCAGCCCTGAGCGCGATGGAGGGTCTCCTGACAGGAACTCCCACTGAGTGATGTGACGGGAGGTCTCCTCTTCACAGGACACTGTCACCGCGCACGGCGGGACCGTTCCTGGCTGTAGCACCTCTCACTGAACAGGGCGGGGCACAGGAAGCCCTGCGCCTGGCAGGGTGGCTCCTCTGGAGAAGCCTCTCACTGAGGGCAGCGGGCTGGACAGCACTGAGCTCCCTTGACTCCTCCACAAGTCGGTCTCTCATCGCTGAGGGACAGCGAGCGGTGACAACATTCGCTGTGGCCCTGGCTCACTTTGAGGCCAGGCAAGACACCCCCGCCGCTGGTGTGTGTGTGTGCGTGCGTGGTGTGTTCAGAGCGGGCATGGCTAGGGCTCACACCTTCAGGGGGCACTGTGGGTGAGGCACTTGGCCGGAACGACAAGTAAACCCCAAACCCACTGCCGACCACACAGTCTCTGAGGGTCAATTTTCAGGGGAGCAGGCAGCCTCATCTTTCTCCCCGGAGCAGCGCGGGGGTCTGAACAGCCCACCCTGTGGCGTCATGAGCCAGGAGTGTGCCACAGGTTGTCTGCAGAGCACCTGGCAGCTGCTGGGAAGTCTAGCACACTCTCACCCTGGTTCCCGGCAGAGTGGCTCCTGCAGGTGGTGGTCATAAGAGGGACCCCTGGGGATGGGCTCGGCGCAAGGGAGAGGCCAGCAGCCCGAGGCAGCTCCTGGGCCTGGGCACCATGGGGCAGGCTGGCACCTAGTGCCTAGTGGCCAGAAGGTGCGACTGTGGTAGCAGCAGTGCTTTTGTTAGAGTACTGGGCTGCCAAACAGGAGGTGATGGGTTCGAGCCCAGCAGCCCCTCTGTGGGAGGAAGATGAGGCCTTCTGTTCCGGGAACGACTGACAGCCTGGGAAACCCTCTGGGGCAGCGGGAGCGGGAGGGAGTGTGTGGCCACAGCTCAGGGTCCCCGCACCTCCAACTCCCGCCTGGCCTCCTCCTGCTCCTGCCTCTCCCTGGCCATCCTCTGCGCCCGCTCTGCCTCCACCTTCCGCCGGTCCTCCTGCTCCCGCGCCTTGGCCAGGTTCTCAAAGTTCGCCCGGATGTTGCTCGTCTTGCTGTTCGCTGTGGGGAGAGCAGGGGGCACACA